ATCTCCCAATTTGCCTATATTATATATTTTATTTTAAAGAATATTTTCAGTTAACTGCCAAACACAAGAAAATAAGCAAAAAAATCACTTGTCTTCCAAGAATATTTTCCAGAAAATTATCTTCCATGAAAAATATTTCCCTTCAATACCAAAGACACCCATAAGGGTGGGCATAGTTTGGGCAAACCCGAAATCCAAACTGAAATTCAAATTTTTTGAATTTTTGATTTGGATTTTCGGATTACGGATTTTGGATTTAATTTAAAAAAAATTTGGATTTCGGATTGGATATCGGATTATATGTTACACCTTATGTTTTCGTACGTAAGAGTACGTCATAAGTCAATTGATGTAAGCTCAGAAATGAGATCATCTTTGAAAAATTTATAAAGTAAGTTAATCATGTTACCGCGGAGGTTACAAATATTTAAGATCACGAATGCCAAGTACCAAGAGGGTTGGAAGCTAAACGAATTGAAGAAAATAAGTTTCGTCGAAAGTCGACAAGTTGAAAATATTATAAAATATACTTTCGGGGTGAGACTAGGGTGCTTAACATTTTAGTCATATGATAATCGTATGCTATGTTTTGAAGTCAAGCGAGTTGTGGAACAAAAGTTAGAAAAGGTCATCACATGTTACATTCATAAATGTGCTGAAAATTAGGTCAAATATAGATAAGTTTTTCTCCAAATATACTTTCTATTATGGGGTGATATACCTACCAAATTGAAGATCTACGAGTCTAGTTTCTAACGCATTAAATCATTCATCGATACGACATCGGAGTAGATAGATATTCGCATTTTGACGAGACTGCGCAAGCAGCTCCCAATGGGACCCACTTAGGCGATGGTCGACCTACTTCACTTTAAAAATGATTTGGACGACCTTTATTTCTCATTTGTCGACCCAACCTCATCCCTACACTCCTAACCCTTCTAAACAGATAACATAAAGGTTTGAAGTGATTCCAAAGTGATTACACCATATTTCAACATCAAAGTTAGTTCCAGTGAAGAACACCACCTCTTTGAGGTTGTGTTATCATTGAGGATAATTATGGGCTGTGTTTGGCTGAAATTTCAAGTTGCTGCTACTGTCTAAGGCGAGTATAACGGCCTACTAATTGTGGTTAAGCTTGCGTGTATGTTGGTTAAATTGTTAGGATGATAAACTACAAGATAATACTTGGATTAGCTTCAGATATTGTTGTTCATGAAGAATTGATATGAAAGTTGCTCTTATGAACTTTGAGTGGCTGGAAATTATGGAAAATAAGTTGGCAATGATATTGTTAGTATGATTATGTTGGTTTACATATCAATCTTGTTGAGGAAATTGGTAATTAGAAAAGGAAATGGCTATAAAGCACTTGGAAGTTGTCGACAGAGAGATTATCTTATGTTGGGCTATTTCGAGTAACTTTAAAATTGGGTACAATGTTGGAAATCTTTTAAAAGGTATTGGTTATTATACTGGATATATTACTAAGTTCAAGAATGAATGATATTGGGGTTGAAGGGTACTAAAGGGATTCAATCCGAGCTTACCGCTCGTTGTGATATGTTGATGACTTGTTAATGAAATATTGTATACCTTATTGTTGACATTGTTCTTATTAAATTACTCTGGTTATTGTTGTTAGTCTATGGAATTGGAGGAGGCCCTTGTTATATGGGAGATGCTTCCGAAATTTACATAAACGAGCTACTAGTTTAAGTTGCGAACTTCGCCTTTACTCATCACTGATTTTGAATCTCCTCGTGCTATGGTAGATTGAGTTGAGTTATTTGAAGAATTGCTTGGAAGGTATTAAGGACTCAACGGAGTTAAGATGTGTTAAGGCTAAACCTTTTCTTCATTTTGGCATGATCCCGTAACTACATGTGTTTGATAGCGAGACATAAAGAGAAGTTCATATTTCTGAATTTATGTACATTATACTAGTCCCATAAGTTATAATATTCTCCCTTATTTGGACTTTCTATTCAGTTAAGTGTTGTCTTCTTTCAGTCAAGAGAGCAGAGGGTCTATA